CTGCCATCAAATTCACTTAGAGAACACAGACCAGCAACGACACCAGGAACGACACCAGAGACGACACTAGCTGGTGTCGTCTCTGGTGTCGTGTCGTGTCGGGAAACTATTGTTAACTTTTAGAATTAAGCATTGATAGATATCTATCATCTACCCACCCACCCACCTACCCACCTATACCTATCTTAAGGTTTATCTTATCTCATAATAGTTATAAATCCTTGTCCTGTTTGCTGCTGCACAGGTGAAGTAGCCTGGGTCACATGTTTAAAAGGAGCCAATCAGTATTTAGTGAGTAAAAGCAGCGAAGGATAAAACCCAGAAGCGTCCGTGCTCTGGCCTCTTGACACTTAAAGTCGAGCAGTGCTATATATACGGCGTGGAGGGGGATCACGGACTATAACTTTAAAGATGACGGCCGAAGCCCTTGACTAAAGGTCTAAATGAATAAGAAAGGTCAATGCGGTTTTACGCGGCGGCTACGGTGACTGCCCCAACCCCCACTGTAACGAAAGACCACAGAGAACCCGGTCTTTGGGCTTCTCCCGTCCAAAAGGTCACCAATCGGAATCATTTACATATCTCTATCAAGGTCAGAGGAAGCCATGCAACCAAACAAACAAACCAAACCGCAACCAAAAAACGTTGATTGTTTGGTTTTTATCTCCACGATCGCTGGCTTTCTCTCTCCTCCACCGCCTCGGCACCCCCACTGCGGCGCTGAAGGGGTTAACCAGCCTCTGTGGGTCGAGGAGTCTGAGCTGCACAGATTTAATCAATAATTTCTATCAGCCCCTGGCCCAAGAAATCAGCAGGGGGGCGGGAGGAGGGTGGAGGGTGGATGGTGGAGAAGAGAGGGGGAGGACTGGGGAGGAGGGGGGTCGGCCACGGTGGAGGTGATGCGGCGAGGGCTGGAGCTGGAGGTGGATTCGCCGAGGGTTGGTGTAGAGGGGGGGTAAGGAAAGGGCTTTCGATCACGTTTCACCAACACGAGACAAGGGCATACATCATGATTAGAGGCCGTTCCCACGATCATACCGAGCCTATAGGGGAATATTTATGTCCCGCAAAAGTAGCCCCCCCACCGCAGAGATTTATGGCATGGTAATTGCGAGCCTTTTACACATGATTACAGCATAAGGAAGCTTTAACTTAACGGTGGGAGTTATGATTGGCGGCGAGGGAGGAGGAAAGGGGGAGGGGCTATCCGTGGAGATGTCTGTAGCAATGACTCAACTCGGGGGGAAGATGTTTCGGTCGCGAGTCCGGACGGATCGAAGAGGTGCGCCATGTGTCCTCATTTGTGATGCTAATGTCGAGTCACGGCGTCTGCGAGTTTTCACTTTAATTTAGCCGGCAACAGTTTAGTTTATCTGCTTTGTCCTTGTTTATATTGTATATTAACAGATCTTCAGTTTTTCTCACAATATTATCTTACATTATTATGATTATTTTCAGATTGTTGCATTCATGTTATTTTAATTTTTACTTTTTGTTGTGAAATTCTATGCGAGCTAATGCGACAACGCAATTTCCCTTGTGGATCAATTGAGTCTGTCTAAGTCTAACGGGAGATGTAAAAGTATTCGGTAAACACAAAATGGTATCGACAGTATATCTGTTTTAGAAGAATACAAATTAATTGCTTGAATCTCGTCTTTTTGATCAAAATTTGAGCACATTCTGACTGTGTTAAAAAAAATTCTCCAATGAGACAAAGACAATTGGTCTTATTTCAAGAACTGTATTCTCTCATTCCACGGGAGACTTTTTTTTTTCTTTTCAAAACAAGATAATTTTGCTTTGTCCCATTGGTGAATCTTGTTTTAATGCGGTCAAAATGTCCTCAAATTCAGATAAGATAGACTTTATTGATCTCACACTAGAGAAATGTACATGTCATATTTGGCACAGAGAGAATCAGTCAAAGTGGCAATAGCAGTGCTTTTTTTTCAGTCCTCGTGCATTTGTGACTCAAAGTGACTTTAGATAAATTTAGATACATTTTTATTTTTCATCACTTCTTGCAGTTTACAGTTTACCCGGACACACATACTGTAGATACTAAAACATGGATCATTTTACCTGAAACTGCATCAATATGGACACAGAGAATGACCTTCAATGACGCAGTAGTAATAACAACCAGGCCTATTTTTGTGGAGATTGCGTGTTTTCTTCTGCCTGCTCCAGTTTCCTCCAGGTGCTCCGGTTTTCTCCTATCACTAAAAAACATACACAGTGGGTGTGGATGTGATGAGGGAGTGAATGGATGGTGTTGTTGGGGGCTTTGATGGTCCAGCGTGTTCGCCCGTCTCTCTTCTGTCGTTGTAAAGCGTTTTCTGTGACCTTGGCGCTATATAAATAAACATAACTTATTTACTAAACTGGACAGAACGTGACCTTTTCTGTAGAGTTTCAGAATGACCTTAGGTAGGTGTAATATTGTGAAAACACCGTGGGACTAAACAAGCATCACTCATTCATTCAAGTCCAATATCAACGAATTATTATTGAACTTTTAAACCAAAATCCTGCTGTATAAAGGTTGATTTGAAATGTTTATATTAATTTATAACCAGTTTTTCTGTGACTTTAGATTTAATATTATTCAGAAAACAGATGTGAAATACAGCATCAATACTGGGGCATAAATTAATATTAAAACGTGTATCATTTCATTTAAAACTAGATCAATATTGACAAAGAGAATGACCTCAACTGGACACAATCTGACCCTTCCTGAGTTTGTATAAAAGTTAGTGCTGTTTCTTCTAAATACCAGATTATAATTGTAAAGAGTACGATTGGAACCAGTTCAGATTCTGATTAAGTTTTCTGTGACCTTCAGTGGGAGTAATATTATACAGAAAACAGATGTGAAAAACGGTATCGATACTGGGACAAATAATTACTAAAACTTGGATGAAGTAGATCAATGTTGACTGAGAGAAAGACCTGAACTGGACAGAATCTGAGTTTAAGGAGGTTTAAAGGAGCAATATGTAAGATTTTCATGTCAAGTCATCATTAAAGGGCCCTAATCTGTCAAAACAAATTATTGTTTTCATTTCGATGTCCCGCCCTCCACCGTTTCACCAATCAGAAAGTCTGTGATCCGGGCGCCAGAACTCACCGCGTGGAGCTAATCTCACTGGTAAAGTACCATGTGGCGCAGAACTAAAAAAGGTCTCGTTATGATTCTCAAATCATTAACGACAAAACAAGGAATAAAACCAGGATTTCTATCTTTGTGAAAAAGGTGTTGGTTATAGATTTGTTGTTGACAAAACTCTTGTCTATTCAGCTGTTATGGTCCCAGCTGGATTCGTCTGCATATCTGGCAACCTGAGTCAGGGAGAGTGGGGAGATTTTTACATACTGCTCCATATGTTGGTGTGCCTTTAGATGTTCGTATTAGTGAGCCTTGGTAATAATCCGATGTCAGCTGCTTACTCAAAATAATGTGAGAAGATTAGATAGATTTTTTTGTGCGTTTTGTTTGATTTGCTAAATAATAACGACTGTAGAGTTTCAATTTGGTATGACATTCAGTTGGTGCTGTGACATTTGATTTTTGGCAATGACAAAGATGTCACGGCTCAGAAAGGTTTGGGAACTCTGCCTTAGACTACACTGAAAAAAATGGTAAGATATGTCAGAATGTGCTCAGATTAAGACATGTTTTTTGCCAAATTTGAGCAATTTTTTGGCTTATTTTTCCTCACTTTTTGCAGTGTAGGTTCAATATTATCCCTACCGTGGAACTGGCAAAGGTTTCGCTAAACTAAAAGTTGGATAATTTAATTTAAAACTAGATCATTATTGACAAAGAGAGATTAAGATTGAGTTTGAGATGAATCAAAACCAGTAAAAGAGAATTGAAAAAAAATATGTTTTTGTTAAAGGTTAGTGCTGTTTATCATCAAAATATCTTAATCTAATCTTAGTTATTGGTCTTAAATCGTCACCGGTTCAGATTCGAAGTCAGTTTTCTGTGACCTTTGGTAGGTTTTGTAAATTAAGAAATGCAGCATCAATACTAGGACACAATTTATGACTAAAACTTGGATAATTTAATTTAAAACTAGATCAATATTGACGAAGTGAATGACCTCAACCGGACACAATCTGACCTTTTCTGTTTTAAAGATTGAGCTTGAGAATTGTCAAAACTAGTAAAATAGAAAGTTATTCAAAAATATCTGATTTTGTTAAAGGTCTGAGCTGTTTCTTATCAAAATATCTGAATCTAAATTGAAATATCAGTTTTTTATATATTAGTATGGTTTAATAAAAGCAGGAAGCTAACGTTAAAAACCATTTAAATCCTGAGACACAATTTAAATGTTTTTGTGAAAGTCTGAGCTCTATCTGGTTTGAAGCGTTCGTATTGTAACCAGATTCTGACTCGGTTCTCGGTGACCTTCACAGAGAACACTCATTATTGATGGAGAGGCTCAGGGTCGGGGCCCGAGTCTCGGTCCCAGGACGGTCCTCTTCAGAGCAGCTTCCATTAGAGCCGCGGCGAGAGAGCCCAGAATCCAAAACTCATTCGCTTCTTTGCTAACGACATGCAGCGGTAATAGAGTTTGGTCGCTAAATTAGCTTAAAAAACACACAGAAAGACAGATGCATGAGCTAAAAACACAGATATTACTAATTAAATTCTAAATATTAATTTACCCCCATATTTTGGCAGATACAGACCGAGCTTGCACTGCAAAAAGTAATGAAAAATTAGTCAAAAATGTCTCAAATTTAGCTAAATGTGTCTTAATTTCAGCCTTTTCTGACTGAGCTTTAAAACAAGATTCACCAATGGGACAAAGCGAAATTATATTGTTTTTAAAATGATACAAGAAATGCCTTAGAATGAGATTATTTTATTTTTAATTGAACTAAATATTTTTGTCCCATTGGAGAATCAAGTTTTAACACAGTCAGAATGTGCTTAGATTAAGATAAAAACGCTCAAAACAAGCCATTTTTACGTCATA